AAATTTCAATCCGACTTTTCGTTGGGAAGTTATGGCGTTTTGAAAGCTCAAAAATCGCTAATTTTGGTGCCCCATGTTATGTCAATGAGAAAAAAGATTTTTTTGAAGTGTAAAATACCAGATAAAGACTGAGTACAGCTTAAGATTCTGAAAGTCTATAAAAGAAGTGGACCTCGAAGGCTATCTAGCTTTAAAATTTGGACACCAAAATCCCTAGGTCAAAATCTAGGTCAAATACATAGTTTTTCCTTATTTTTGCGATTCTGGCACTACACTTTTAGGATTTGCTTCAAAATTTTGTATACAGGTAGCAAAGAGTGGGCTAATAGTGTTATCCTTTTGCCGTCAGAGAGTATTTTGACCCACTTTTGAGATATGGTGTCCGAAATGTAGGTCAAAATAAAAAATTCTCCAAATTTTACATATGAGTTATGAATTAAAAGTAGAATTTTCTCAGGAATCCGAATCTGCAAACCAAATTTCGATCCGACTACCGGTTCCAAAGTCATGGCGTGTCCGAAAAGTAGGTCAAAATAAAAATTCGCCAAATTCAACGTATGAGTTATGAATAAGGGGTAGAATTTTGTCAGGAATCCGAATCTTTAAATCAAATTTCGATTCGACTTCCGGTTTGAAAGTTATGGCGTTTTGAAATTTCGAGAAAAATCGATCTGATGTTATCCTGATAGAAAGTCAAGGAAAAAAGATTTTTTTGAAGTGTAAAATACGAGATATAGATTGAGTACAGCTTAAGATAATGAATTCCTATAAAAGAAGGGGACCTCAAAAGCTACCTAGTTTCAATATTTGGACACCAAAATGCCTAGGTCAAAATCTAGGTCAAATTCATAGTTTTTCCTTATTTTTGCGATTCTGGCACTACACTTTTAGGATTTGCTTCAAAATTTTGTATACAGGTAGTAAAGATTGTGCTAATAGTGTTAGCCTTTTGCCGTCAGGAAGTATTTTGACCCACTTTTGAGATATGGTGTCCGTAAAGTAGGTCTAAATAAAAATTTCTCATAATTTAACTTATGAGTTATGAATTAAGGGTAGAATTTTCTCAGGAATCCGAATCTGCAAACCAAATTTCAATCCGACTTTTCGTTGGGAAGTTGTGGCGTTTTGAAAGCTAAAAAATCGCTAATTTTGGTGCCCCATGTTATGTCAATGAGAAAAAAGATTTTTTTGAAGTGTATAATACCAGATAAAGACTGAGTACAGCTTAAGATTCTGAAAGTCTATAAAAGAAGGGGACCTCGAAGGCTATCTAGCTTTAAAATTTGGACACCAAAATCCCTAGGTCAAAATCTAGGTCAAATACATAGTTTTTCCTTATTTTTGCGATTCTGGCACTACACTTTTAGGATTTGCTTCAAAATTTTGTATACAGGTAGCAAAGAGTGGGCTAATAGTGTGAGCCTTTTGCCGTCAGAGAGTATTTTGACCCAGCTTACAAGTAATTGGATGACTCAGCTTAAAACAAGTCTTAAATCTGGAGTCTTAAATTGAACTTGTTCAATTTACATGTCTAGTTATTCTTCCGCTTCCTCCTTACAAGATTTCTCAACAACTAGAAGAGCTTACTTTAAGTTGCTTACATGATCAACTAGGGAATGTATCTGGGATGATGGGAAATTAGGTCAAATTTTTATCTAGGTCAAAGGTCAAGAACTAGGTCAAATCTTGCATTTTCAACATTCTTTCAATTATCTTCGTCGTTATTTATTGAAACAACTTTGTCCTTTTTTCATCATGTAGCTTAGAAACAGCTCTTTCAAAGATATGCCATCAGATTTTTAATTTCTCGTACCGATTTTGAGATATGGCGTCCGGAAAGTAGGTCAGAACAAAAAGTTCTCCAAATTCAACATGTGAGCTATGAAATAAGTGTAGAATGATCTCAGGAACCTGAATCTGCAAACCAAATTTCGATCCGACATCTAGTACGGAAGTTATGGCGTTTTGAAAGCTCAAAAATCGCTAAATTTGGTGCCCATGTTAAGTCAATGGGAAAAAAGATTTTTTTGAAGTGAAAAATACGAAATATAGACTGAGTTCAGCTAAATATAATGGAAGCTTTTAAAAGAAGGGGACCTCAAAAGCCATCTAGCTTAAAAATATGGACACAAAAATGCCTAGGCCAAAATCTAGGTCAAATTCAAAGTTTTTCCTTATTTTTGCGATTCTGACACTACACTTTAATTATATTCTTCGAAATTGTGTATACATGTAGCCAAGAGTGGGCTTATAGTGTTAGCCTTTTGCCGTCAGGAAGTATTTTGACCCACTTTTGAGATATTGTGTCCCAAAAGTAGGTCAAAATAAAAAATTCTTCAAATTTAACTTATGAGTTATGAATTAGGGGTAGAATTTTATCAGGAATCCGAATCTGCAAACCAAATTTCGATTCGACATCTTGTTCAGAAGTTATGACGTTTTGAAAGCTCAAAAATCGCTAAATTTGGTGCCCCATGTTAAATCAATGGGACTGAATAATTTTTTGAAGTGTAAAAATACAAGATATAGAATGAGTACAGCTAAACATAATGAAAGCCCATAGAAGAAGAGGACCTCAAAAGCTACTTTCCTTCAAAATGTGGACACCAAAATACCTAGCTCAAAATCTAGGTCAAATTCATAGTTTTTTCTTATTTTTGCAATTCGGACACTACACTTCAATGATATTCTTCAAAATTTTGTATACATGTAGCAAAGAGTGTGCTAATAATCTTAGCTTTTTGCCGTCAAGAAGTTTTTGACCCACTTTTGAGATATGGTGATCGAAATGTAGGTCAAAATAAATGTTCTCCAAATTTAACGTATGAGTTATGAATTAGGGGTAGAATTTTCTCAGGAATCCGGATCTGAAAGTAAAATTGCAATCCGACCCCCGGTTAAGATTCTATGCCATTTTGAAGTTACAAATTCGCACTTTCCAGTATTCACGATGCAGATTGATCAAATATACTTTCAAAAATTCCTACATACCCTACTTTACCTCCCTACCTACTCAGCTACTTATTTGACCACTTACTCAATTACTTAATTAGTTATTACTTACTTAGCTACTTACTCAGCTACTTACTCAGGTACTTACTCAGCTACCTACTCAGCTACCTACTCAGCTTTTTACCCAGTTACTTACTCAGCGACTTACTCAACTACTTCTAAGGTACTTACTCAGCTAATTACTCAGTTACTTACTCAGCTCTTTACTGATCTATCTAGGTCAAAATAAATCTGGAGTCTTAAATTGAACTTGTTCAATTTCACCAATCTAGTTATTCCTCTTTTTCTTTCTTTCTTTCTTTCTTTCTTTCTTCCTCCTAACACATTTTCTCTCCAACTATAACATCTTACTTAATCCAACCTACATGGTTGACTAGGGAATGTATCTGGCTTTCTGGGAAATTAGGTCAAATTTTTATCTAGGTCATAGGTCAAGAACTAGGTCAAATCTTGGATTTTCACTAATTCACCACTTTTCTCAGTCCTCTTTCAATATTTTCGCTCCGGGTTTTTTTCATCATGTTCCTTGGAAAAAACGCTAATTCCGTAAGGCAAATCGTTTTTTGATTACTATTACCGATTTTGAGATATTGCGTCCGAAAAGTAGGTCAGAACAAAAAGTTCTCCAGATTCAACATATGAGTTATGAAATAAGTGTAGAATGATCTCAGGAATCCGAATCTGCAAACCAAATTTGGATCGGACTTCCGGTTCGGAAGTTATGGCGTTTTGAAAGCTCAAAAATCGCTAAATTTGGTGCCTATGTTAAGTCAATGGGAAAAAAGACTTTTTCGAAGTGTAAAATACAAGATATAGACTGAGTACAGCTTAACATAATGAATGCTTATAAAAGAAGGGGACCTCAAAAGCTACATAGCTTCAAAATTTGGACACCGAAATGCCTAGGTCAAAATCTAGGTCAAATTCATAGTTTTTCCTTATTTTTACGATTCTGACACTACACTTTAATAATTTACTTCAAAATTTTGTATACAGGTAGAAAAGAGTGTGCTTATAGTGTTAGCCTTTTGCCGTCAGAAAGTATTTTGACCCACTTTTGAGATATGGTGTCCGAAAAGTAGGTCAAAATAAAAGGTTCTCCAAATTTAACATATGAGCTATGAATTAAGAGCAAAATTTTCCCAGGAATCAGAATCTGCAAACCAAATTTCAATCCGACTTTCGGTTTGGAAGTGATTGCGTTTTGAAAGCTCAAAAATCGCTAAATTTAGTGCCCCATGTTATGTCAATGAGAAAAAAGATTTTTTTGAAGTGTAAAATGCCAGATATAAACTGAGTACAGCTTAAAATTCTGAAAGCCTATAAAAGAAGGGGACCTCGAAGGCTATCTAGTTTTAAAATTTGGACAAGAAAATGCCTAGGTCAAAATCTAGGTCAAATTCATAGTTTTTCCTTATTTTTGCGATTCTGACATTACACTTTAATGATTTGCTTCGAAATTGTGTATACAGGTAGCAAAGAGTGTGCTTATAGTGTAAGCCTTCTGCCGTCAGAAAGTATTTTGACCCACTTTTGAGATATGGTGTCTGAAAAGTAGGTCAAAATAAAAAGTTCTCGAAATTTGACGTATGAGTTATGAATTAAGGGTAGAATTTTCTCAGGAATCAGAATCTTTAAACCAAATTTCGATCCAACTTCTGAATAGATAGTTATAGCGGTTTGAAGTCTCGAAAAGTCGATATGATGATATCCCCATGTTAAGCCAATGTAGTCGAAGATAACATCTTAAGAGACTAAATGTCTATATTCTAGCTGACTCAGCTTATTCTGAATGACTCAGCTTACAAGTATTTGGATGACTCAGCTTAAAAAAAGTCTGAAATCTGGAGTCTTAAATTGAACTTGTTCAATTTACATGTCTAGTTATTTTAGTTTCAGTACTAGTTCATGAAAATATACCTGTTAATTTAAACATCATTGAGGATAAAACAAATTATGAATAGTAGCAAATTTTGGAATACATTTACCTGGTTTTAGGCATACTTTCTCCATCAACCCTCTCACTTCATTTCTTAAACTGGAAATTTCTTCACTTATGTCAGCTAACTTGTATTTTCTCAGTTCTCTATTTATCTTTTTGCTTTGGTTATCACTGCCCCTGTCCGCAATGGATAACGCAATGATCGAAATCACAAAAACTATAGAACTGCGAATTAAAAACATACTGATGGGCGACGCTCTAGTGTTTGATGTTCTTGCACTCAGAATGAGCTTATTATACTCGAGCCAAGATGGATTTTAGCGGAATATATAAAATAGTTATATACAGAAAGTGCTTTGATTGGTTTTTACTAATGATACGTCACGTTTTCGTGAATCGTTTATTATAGCTACATTGCGTGGTGTAGAGTGAGACGGAAAATGCATATCTCTTCTAGTTTTGAAAGAACAATACAAATAGTTAAAAAAAAAAAAAAACACAATACAATGCATGCGCTATCTTATGTGGACAGAGAATCATGATTATTGCATATTTAGCCTAGCAGATCTAGAAAATTCAATTTATTAAAAACTAGAAAAATGCTGATTATGTTCAACGATCATGATTAACACAAAGTCATTTTCTGTGGATGTTGGATTACACGCAATCATTTTTTCATGGTTATTTTACCCAATCATTGAAAGCCCATAATCGTATGTAATGTGGCCAAATGGATGGGTATCGATATGGCGAACTTTTTGAACACACGTTTCTCTTAAACCAGTCATCAAAAAATTCTGAAAATTTTACACATTGTCAATTTAATGGCCATCTTTTGAATGGTAACAATGTAATTGGAAAGATATATATACTTTCATCTATATTGTTTTAGGAAACACATCAAACACTTGCTTTGTTCTTGGTATCATGTTTCCAGAGTGAAATGAAACATCTTTCCGAACCTCATTGGAACAAAACGACATAAACACAACATGATTAGGTCTCTCAATATTGTAATTGTACAAAGGAAATTTTGGTTCATTTTAAAAAAGTATCTTGTTAATGAAATAGGTTTATCTTGATTTTTATCTATTTTGGGGGATTTTGTTTTAATTTTTTGAATACTTTTTTAAAATGAACCAAAAATTCCTTTGTATAACTATAATATTGAGAGGTCTAAAAACATGTTGTATATGCTATTTTGTTCCAACAAGGTTCGGAAAGACATTTTATTTCATTCTCAAGAATTGGTAGAAAGGAGCAAAAACAATTGCACTAGAAAAACGAAAAATGTTAACAAAAACAGTTATATAAAATATTTCTAAATAATTTTCGCAATGTTGTCAATCAGTCAACATTACATAAAATACCGTGTTTTTTAACAGAATGTTTTCAATGATTGGTTTAAGAGAAAAACATTGTTGAATCCAGTTCTCCATATCGATACCACTCTTTTCGATCAGTCTGAGAACGAGATGGCACTTATGTAACATAAATACTTGATTTTAGGACTGAAAACTGAACATTTCTCTTTATAATGGGTAATATAAAGGATGAATTCACCATAAACAATAATCCATATAATTTTTGTCTTTTTTCACAGCATTAAAAGAACAGCTCTCGTCATGTGAGCTCTAGTCATGTCATGTCAAGTAAGTATTTTTTATTTACTCTGAAGTAACTATTTTGTTTAATAATCTTTAGTAGTAATCTCTAGAGCCGCTGGAAGGACGGCATCACTAGGGAAGTTTTAAATGTCTAAAGACTAGTTATAAATTCTGAACTGACGTAAATCCCTATTCTACAAAAGTATCGAAGCGATTGCAAACTCAAAAGATAAGTTATTAATTTTCTTTTCCCACGGCCTTCATATGAAAAGCCTGCATATGAAAAGCTCGGGAAGAGACAACAAATAAAACAGTACGTTAGAGTCTAGATAATGTTAATGTTTTTTTGCATACACGCTTCCTTTTTAAATCAGGGAACCTTTTTCCGATAGCAGTGCAGATAATAGTCGTAGAGTCGCGCTATCGACGCATTGAGTGTGGTGTAATGACCTTCGATAGCAAGTCGCTACTACAGTCTCAGCTGTAGTGGCTAGCCCTTATGGCTCAGGGGTATGGCGTCTGACTCAACAACGGGAGACTCTTTCGAGTCTAGTACCTGGCTCGGTACACTACAGCTCCCCGACGGACGTGCCCAAGGGTCGTAACAAATTCATTGACAGAAAGACATTCCTCATTGACTGAAAAATTGTCTCATTGCACCCCCTCCCATGTAAAAAAGTCTTGCTACAGTCTTATCATTGCCATACAAAAAATATGTCAAGTAGCGCTTTTGCACACTGGCAACCTTAGTAAGGTGTACGGTAGGAGCCGGGGGTAGGAGTAAGTAATAAGATAATCAAAACCTGGCCGGCGACGTGCAACTTGGTACGTTTCATCAGTCTAGTTTTATGGCCTTGTCACCTTTATCAAATTAATCTTTAGAGGCATGTTACCCTCGTTAGATTTGCTACGTTGGATATATGTACAAAGCCAGCTTTCGGTTCTTTTAATTAGTGCACTGAGTACTTTAAGAAAGAAATTATGGTCTCCCAGGGATTATGGTCCCCCTTCTTAACGGCCCTTACTGGCCCTGATCAATAATGAGGGAAAGAGGTCACCATATAAATCAATCGAGAGTAGGACCATAATTTGAGAGATACCTTTTTACACCGGCCTTGAGTAGCTATGTTAAGCCGACTTAATTCTACAAATCTGATTCTAATGCTGGCTTCTGCAATTCGTTAGAAGTCGGCTTTAAGAAATATGTAAAGTCAGTTTCTAAACATCGGCTTTTAAATGCTTGTTTCTAAAAAGCATCATTAAAAGGTCTTATGAAACCTTACGATGTATTTATGTTTTTTCAGGTTCGTACATTTTCAAGGTCGCAACCAGAGTTGACCTCTAAGGTTAGGGTAACTTATGTGAAGGTTGTCTCTAATGATAAACATTGACGCAGGAATATTATACGAGGGCCGATCCAGAAGTCCTGATAAAACTGCCAAAAGAGTTTATCATTCGATTTGCACAATATTTTCAGAGTAACTGGTTCATTTATTTCCTCATAAGTTATAAAATAAATTAGATGTTGGTAACAAATATTTCTAAATTTATGGCTGCTATGGTAACACCAATAACGCTATATAGCGGGAGAGGCTATTATTTGCGAAGTTTAAACTTAGTTTCCTCTGTAAAAAATGATCAAAACCACATGACAAGATTTCTTTATTATACACATGGCTATTTTAATAGTAACTACTGTTTATGTCCCATTCTTATAAGTGTGAAATTATTGTAAATATTGTATGATACAGAATACATGAATGCCTTATGATATATTAGACAAGACATGAGACACTAAGCTTTCAGTTCAACTACGTAAAGCGATGCATGCGCATAAAAAGCGATTGAACAGAGCCATAGATTCAAACATGTTTGACTAGGACAACACATCATGTCACAAATCTGACATGGTCTATACTATTAGCAGCAACAAGTTAAATATGGAGGTACTAGGACAGAACGTATTCCTTATCCCCAGATAGTGCTCCCCTTTGTTGTGTTTGAACTTTTAATCAGCCCTAAAGAGGGACCAGAGTGTCTCGTATTTTAAAAACATTTGTTGAAATCAAGAATGCTCGACACCTGAGTAGAACTGCAAAATGTGTACAAACAGTGGGTGGATGGATACCAGGGTGTGTTAATGCAGAAGGACATTATTTTGAGTCTCTTCATTGAACTTTATTTCAAATAGGACTTAGTTTTTTTCTGTTGATTGATCATTCTGAAAAGTCCCTGCTGTATAGGGATATACACTCCCCTGCATAAATTTGGCAACCTTAGCTCCCCCATTGAACTGCGTGTTAAAGCCTCTTTATTTTTATTTAGATAACCTACGACGAAATAGCTTATACGGATGGAAACGTAACTTGACTTTATTTCCATTACCTCCAAATTTTCTCAATTTTTTCCTCAATTACAATAGGTCGAAACGTGTAGATAGATTTGATGAATTTTTGAAAATCGTCATTCCCATGTAAACCAATGGGAAATGGTGGGTACGGGGCAAATCGGAAATCAGTATATCTATTCAGTAAAAGATTCAGCAAAAAATATGTTTATATAGAAAGTTGAATTGTCTAACTTTTTGTACACTAAGTGTTTAGTTTACTTGATGAATACTTAATTGAAAATCATTTTCGCTTCCTGTGTTATTGCAATGGGTAAGTTTTTTTGAAAAACAATTTTGACTTTAAACCGCTATAACTTTGTTGAACCTGAAGAAACGTATCATTTTTTTGTTAAATAAAGTTAGCAAATTCAATTGCCTACCAAATGCAACTCGTATTTTTTGCAATGACTCGGATGAATGGATATTCTGTCATATGACTTGCGACAAACCCACCATTTCCCATTGGTTAACATGAGAATGTCGATTTTCATAAATTCATCAAATTTATCATCAATTTTCGACCTATTGAATTGAGGAAAAAATTGGGAAAATTTGGAGTTATTGGAAAGTCAAGTTACGTTTCCATCAATAGTATAAGTTATTTCATCGCAGGTTATCTAAATAAAAAATTCAAGGGTAAAGAGGCTTTAACACGTACACTCCCCTCCATAAGTTTGGCAACCTTTTCCCCCCATTGAACTACGTGTTAAAGCCTCTTTACGTTTGAATTTTTATTTACTTAACCAGTGATGAAATAACTTATAATATTGATGGAAACGTAACTTGACTTTATTTCCAATGCCTCCAAATTTTTTTTCCTCAATTACAATAGGTCGAAAATTGATGATAAATTTGATGAATTTTTGAAAATCGTCATTCCCATGTTATCCAATGGGAAATGAAGGGTTCGGGGCAAATCAGAAATCAGGATATCTTTTTAGTAAAAGATTCAGCAAAAAATATTTTTATATAGAAAATTGAATTGTCTAACTATTTTGAACACTAAGTGTTTAGTTTATTTGATGAATATTAAAGTTACAGCGCTTCGAAGTCATTTTTGAAAATAATTTTTCGCCTCCTGCGTTATTTCAATGGGAGAGTTTTTTTGAAAAACAATTTTGACTTTAAAGCCCTATAACTTTGTTGAACCTGAAGAAACATATCATTTTTTTGTAAAATAAAGTTAGTAAATTCAATTGCCTGCCTAACTCGTATTTTTTGCAAGGACTCGGATGGATGGATATTCTGTCATATGACTTGCGGCAAACCTACAATTTCCCATTGGTTAACATGGGAATGTCGATTTTCAAAAATTCATCAAATTTATCATCAATTTTCGGCCTATTGTAATTGAGGAAAAAACTGAGAAAATTTGGAGGTATTGCAATTAAAGTCAAATTACGTCTCCATCAATAGTATAAGTATTTTCATCGCAGGTTAAGTAAATAAAAATTCAAAGGTAAAGATACTTTAACACGTAGTTCAATGGGGGAAAAGGTTGCCAAACTTATGGAGGGGAGTGTATACTTTCATCTATATTGCTTTAGAAAACACATCAAACACTTGTTTTGTTCTTGGTATCATGTTTCCAGAGTGAAATGAAACATCTTTCCGAACCTCATTGGAACAAAACGACATAAACACAACATATTTATTTAGGTCTCTCAATATTGTAATTGTACAAAGGCTTTTTTGGTTGATTTTAAAAAAGTATCTTGTTAATGAAATAAAATGTTTATCTTGATTTTTATCTATTTTGGGGGGATTTTGTTTTAATTTTTTGAATACTTTTTTAAAATCAACCAAAAATTCCTTTGTACAACTATAATATTGAGAGGTCTAAAACATGTTGCATATGCTATTTTGTTCCAACAAGATTCGGAAAGACATTTTATTTCATTCTCAAGAATTGGTAGAAAGGAGCAAAAACAATTGCACTAAAGAAAACAAAAAATGTTAACAAAAACAGTTATAGAAAATATTTCTATATACATTTCGCATTAAATTGTTGTCAACCAGTCAACATTACATAGAATACCTAATAGAATACCTAATCCAATGGGAAATGAAAGGTTCGGGGCAAATCAGAAATCAGGATATCTTTTCAGTAAAAGATTCAGCAAAAAATATTTTTACATAGAAAATTGAATTGTCTAACTATTTTGAACACTAAGTGTTTAGTTTATTTGATGAATATTAAAGTTACAGCGCTTCAAAGTCATTTTTGAAAAGAATTTTTCGCCTCCTGTGTTATTTCAATTGGAGAGGTTTTTTGAAATACAATTTTGACTTTAAAGCCCTATAACTTTGTTGAACCTGAAGAAACATATCATTTTTTTGTTAAATAAAGTTAGCAAATTCAATTGCCTGTGTCTAACTCGTATTTTTTGCAAGGACTCGGATGGATGGATATTCTGTCATATGACTTGCGGCAAACCTACCATTTCCCATCGGTTACAAGGGAATGTAGATTTTCAAAAATTCATCAAATTTATCATCAATTTTCAACCTAATGTAATTGAGGAAAAGAATTGAGAAAATTTGGAGGTATTGGAATTAAAGTCAAATTACGTTTCCATCAATAGTATAAGTATTTTCATCGCAGGTTAAGTAAATAAAAATCCAAAGGTAAAGAGGCTTTAACACGTAGTTCAATGGGGGGGAAAAGGTTGCCAAACTTATGGAGGGGAGTGTAGTTCAATGGGTGTGCTAAGGTTGCCAAACTTATGGAGGGGAGTGTACATTAAATAAATTGTGTAAATATTTTAGGTGGTTTCCTTTACTTAACCAACTATTATTCGAACTTATGATCGGACATAAGGATGATGTTACTTTATCACTTTATCACAATGCTACCAGGAGGAATTGGACCTACTGGCCTTACTATTTATGGATGTTTTTTTCTGTTTTGAAAAATTCGATATATGATGATATTTCTTAGTTTTTCAAAGAAATCTACAAATATTTTGTTGCGGTTTTATCTTCACATCGTCATTTCAACCATTGTCATCATTTTTTAAAACGAGTTACCCTAAAATGTCAAGACAGCATGCTATTCTCATACTTATAGAATGTCCGATCATAAGTTCGAATAATAGTAGGGTTTCAAATATTTATAGTATGACTTACGTGTATACGATACCAATGGTAATGCTACCAGGAGGAATTGGACCTACTGGCCTTACTATTTATGGATGTTTTTTCTGAGTAAAAAATTAATTTGCATCATGGGTGAAAAAATGTTTCTTCTTTCCCGGTGAATGTCGAGTCTCGCATCATACGAATATAATTTTAGGCGATCTGTCTGCATGGGGTGTTAAATATTGATTAGGTTAAAACAAAAATTTCAAGACTTTTGGACAACTCTTTTATTCACGTGATTACCTACATGTATATCATCACTTATGTTATTTGATTAGATTCAATTTTGCATTTAAGTGTCATGCAATTAGAATATTTGATGAGTTACAACATTTCTTTCAGCAACATTTTTAGAAAATGTTTTGTTTTGTCTGGCTTTTTAAGGCATAATGCCAGCTGCTAGCGATCCATAATCTGCATTTTATAGACGTCCATCCAAGACTGGTTCCCCTCCTACAATTGAATTAAACATAACATTAACAGTGTGATACAAATCGTATAATTCTAAGAGACTGTTTCAAAGAATACTACCTAGGAAGATTCCCCGCATTGAGAACATCAGAACGTCATTCCCAGTTAGTAAATGTGTACAAGACGAGAACATGTTCAAATGCCGAGGGGGGGGGGGCACTGGTCAATGTTTTGTACAGGGGGAGTCGCTGATATATTAAATATCTACCCAGATCTATGGATTTTTTTCTCTAAAAATTGACCAACATTTAGGGGTTTTCTTTCATAAGTAGACCCACTTCTTTAAAGTGACTTTAAAGGAATATTCCTTGCCAAACCATCTCTCTCCTCATATGGTAGCTATAACCATATATATGCTTGCCATGTTTAGCAAAACACGCAAAAATGTTTTGATATGGTCAAATTTGATCACTTAGAAATGTGATGCTCAATTTCAGTAAGCTGTCATCTTTTAAAATTTCACACAGGAAGTGATGTCATCGACTCTCAACTTTGCATATAGCATCAGGTGAGGAGCTATTAAGAATTACAAAACCAGCTAAATATTCTTTTTCAACTTTGTATCTTATTTAATCCTTCTGAAAACCTCTTCTTTTATTCTTTGTTGACAAGCCCTGAAAATATTTTTGCACAGAAAGTTATGATCACTTGTCTAGAAGTGATTTTGTGCTACTTTCCTATACTGTTATGGGCAAGGTTATAGAAGTTGAGAGTTGATGACATCACTTCCTGCAAGAAATCTTAAAAGATGGCAGCTCACTGGAAATAAGCACTAGATTTTTAAATGATCAATATTGACCATATTAAAACATTTTCCCATGTTTTGCTAAATATGGAAACTATATATATGATTATAGCTACCATATCAAGAGAGAAAGGGTCTGGCAAGGAATATTCCTTTAAGGTAATTAAAAAAAACAAGACCCACTTCCGGCGATTTTTTCTCAAAAACAATACCAAGTTTTAAGATTTTTAAAAAGTAGACCTAGTTCTATGGATTTGTTTATCAAAATTTGACCCATATCTAGTTTTTTTTCTTCAAAATGGGTACCTTATCTAGCAATTTTCGGTAAAGAAGTGACCCATATTCATTTGTAGTCAATATTTGGGATCCCAACGGGATCAAATATGTCCCTTTATCAAATTAGTGAGGGAAAAGACACATCTAAAATGCACAATGTATTATCTTATAAAAATCAAAAACTTTGTCCAGCATTTCCCAGAATTATTCAAAATGATTTTCAACGCAGACGACATTATTTTTGTATTAAAGGCAAGTAAGACCAAAATCATATGACTGTTTGCTATTAAAATAAGAACATTAGGAGCAATTCATTGTACGAATAATAATATTTTTGCTTTAGCGCTATAGTGGTTTTAGTAAATTATCATTTCTGCGCAGTACCTTACAATAAAGCAATTATATGAAGGTGACACTTAAAAAGTACTTACCTTTATACCTCCACATCAGAGACTCATCGAATGAGGATAGCACATCAGTTTTTGCATCGTATTTCCCAACGTTCCTAATCGAGACACCATCAGCTGAAAATAACCGAAACTTCTAATTCTTAAATTGATAGGTTTGACTGTGGTTTGTGGGACCAGCTAATTCACAGGGCTTTCAGAGAATAAGTAAGCTTCTTAAACATACAAATCATTCTTGAACTTACCTTCCAGCGTACCAACGTAGACGTAAAAGTTACGTAATCCAGTAGCGTCGTATGTATAGTGTCCCTGTGTGCCGTTCGTGAAGGGTAGAATAGAAAATCACAATCATTATTACATATATTTGATATTCAGTATAGCTTTGCTTTGTTTCAGAATAAATACATTTAACCACGTTCTACCAATGGATAGATATTTTACATCAGAAATAATAGATAAAATATAAAACTGGATCAGTGTTGTAAAGACACCATATATTCATTGTGTACCAGTGTTGTGAACCAGACACGATTACAGGGTTTTCAATTGTTTTGAAAAATGAGGTATAATTTTATTGGAAATTCAATTGTCTATCGAATAGGAGCATAAATGGAAGCATTAAATGGGCACTTCGGAAATAAGTGTCCTTATTTTTGTATAGTTGCAGTCAACGGCAAGTTCATGTATTCAAACTGTTTATATAATTGTACTTGTAAACAAAGTAACAATACCGTGACTCCAACAAAGTCAACCGCCATGAGATTAGCATATATTTTCTCTATCCCGTCCTTGGTTCTGAGAAAAGCATTCGCTTCTCCTGGAACTACTCCCTCTGCGTCAAATGTCGCTTTCAGTGCCAGGGCAAACGCCCACACGGCGTCATAAGCTGCACCTTATTAGCATACGAATTAAAACCTTGTGTTTGATTATGACACATTAAACTATTTAAGTCAAAGTTAGAGCCATTTTAGTGGGAAATTATGTCCGATACCAATCCGATACTAGGCATTAAAGGCGCAATATTAAACGTATTTTCAATATAAACTGACATACATTAATGCTGTATATATGACCGACCGGCCTGATGTATTTTTAAAGTATACTGCCAAAGGTGGTAAAATACTTCAAGCCTCGCCTACTTTCATTATTCTGGGTAGCGCCGAAAGGTATATTTAGCGAGTAATTAATTGCAAATTGACATACTTATATCATTATGAAGATACTTATAACACATACCTGCAAAAACAAATGGCTTTTTAGGTGGTACCACTTCTCCAATATCAGATAATACATCGACGTATGTCTGCAACGGATCAATTTAAGCTGGGTAATCACAATGGATGTAAGATGATGGAATGTCAAAACTTTTCAAAAGAGTCATTGACTCATGTAACAATGCTTTTAGTTAAAACGTCAGATCAAATAGTTCAGAGATACCAAATTTTTGACAGAATTGACATTCAAATTCCTATCTTTGATCAGATAAAAAAGTAAGAATGATATAATATACAGGGTTGGCCAAAAAAAAACCAATACCCAACTTCAAATCAGGATGAAAATAGTTACATTCAATATGGTACATTGGCTTACATACCATTTTAAAGGTTATACAATTTCAAACAATTTGGTATATAACACTTCGTCATGAAATCAATAGTAAAGTTTTATTATACTTATTTGGGAGGCCGGGTCGCTATTTAAGGTCTCCAGATTTAAGGGAGAAAATAATAAATCTGCGGAATTATGTTAATTTTTTATTTATAGAATATCATTCTTTTGTTAGGTGAATACATGCTTGGATACTGATATTTTCATCATTGTGTGACTTTTATTGTTTATGAATTTCAGTGTTGTTTAATAACATTTTACACTTTATTTATTTAAACAATTTTCACAATTGCTCAATATACCCCCACCCCCTCCCCTATGCATCAACAATAAGCTTCAAGTGTCGCGTAATCTATCAATAACCTTATTGAGAGATTTCTGTTGCAATTCATTTCAGCACTTTAGGATTCTGTTTCAGCACATCAAAGCTGTTTATTGGATGCTTTTGATTGTACCATTTCCTCGAGATGGCTCCATGTATCGTAATCAAACAAATTACATGTAGCATCAGGGCTGTTGGGTGGCCAAGCATCGAGATCAATCAAATTGACACCTTGTTTGCAAAGGAATGCCATGTCTCTTGAGATCTATGGTACGGGGCAATGTCTTGTTGGAAAATAAAATCCTCGTCACATATACGTTTATTTAACAGACCTCTTTTGAGTACTTATTGATAATAAACAACACTAAAATTCATGACAAATAAGTTCAGTCACACAATATGCAAATATACAAGCATTTATTCACCTAACAAAATGATATTCTATAAATAAAAAATTAACATTATTCCGCAGATTTACTATTTTCTCCCTAAAATCTGGATACCTTAAATACTGACCCGGCCTCCCAAATAAGCATAATAAAACTTTAATATTGATTTCATGACATAGTGTTATATACCAAATTGTTCGAAATTGGATAACCTTTAAAATGATATATAAATCAGTGTATCATATTGAACATAGCTATTTTCAGTCTGATTTAAAGTTGGGTATTGTTTTTTTTTTGCCCACCCTGTATATATAATTTTCAAACTCAGTAATCTTATGACTCTGCGGATAATTACTTTGCCATTTTTATAATGTTTGGGTTCAGTCAGATCAGCGTTGCCACCCTCAAAGAAGAACTCGGGTAACAGTGTAATATGGATGGCTCCCTTCCTCGCTTCGTTAATCTGTTCCCTCGTACAGTTGGTAGTAGCAATTTGATCGTCTGTGTAATTGTTTATAGGAAACAAACAAATATATGTATATGTTATAATGAATATTTATCATTTAATATAAATATATACAAACATGTTGGCATCTGGGCATCTCATGAATTGACTGTGACACTCTCTTGCGTATGAAGTCGCTTCGTTTGCGACATGTGAATGAACGTTGAATTCTCCTTCATAGCAAATGAAATCAGTAGCCCCATAATGTGGATGGTGCTATATTTGAAAGCACCATAATGTGGATGGTGCGGCGTTAGTCTGAAAGCGCCATAATGTGGATGGTGCTTAGGTCTGTAAGCCCCATAATGTGGATGGTGCTTGGTTCGGAATGCACCATAATGTGAATGGTGCTAGTCTGGGAGCGCCATAATGTGGATGGTGCTCGAGTCTGAAAGCGCCATAATGTGGATGGTGCTTGAGCGATTGCGCCATAATGTGGATGGCACACCTGTTTGAAGCGCCATAATGTGGATGGTGCTCGAACAGTTAGATTCCATAATGTAATGGAATTGACGATTGCCATGAAGGAGATACGAAAAGTATGTGATTGAATAAGAATGCAATGAACATATGAATTTGAACCTTGGGAATGGAACGAACGCAAGTAAGTGACACAGCCAAGTCTTGTAGACACCTATAACGTTAGTGTACAATTACAAATAATTATATCTTTAAGACTTAAGATGCCTTAAGATTGTTCATTTATGAGAAAGGAGGTGGTTGGGGAGGTTGGTGGATAGCTATGGATAAATTGATGTTCGCTGGTCGCTAGGTTCAATCGAATAGAACGACTGTATCGTGTGTGCAACGGATAGAGTCACGTTCATCCATCCGAATGATTGACGTGAAGGCGGGGCATGAGAATCAGTATGAATATTTTTCAAGCTTCCTATAAACGATGCTTAACAATATTAAGCAACCATTTATAGGAAACAAACAAATATATGTATATGTTATAATGAATATTTATCATTTAATATAAATATATACAAACATGTTGGCATCTGGGCATCTCATGAATTGACTGTGACACTCTCTTGCGTATGAAGTCGCTTCGTTTGCGACATGTGAATGAACGTTGAATTCTCCTTCATAGCAAATGAAATCAGTAGCCCCATAATGTGGATGGTGCTATATTTGAAAGCACCATAATGTGGATGGTGCGGCGTTAGTCTGAAAGCGCCATAATGTGGATGGTGCTTAGGTCTGTAAGCCCCATAATGTGGATGGTGCTTGGTTCGGAATGCACCATAATGTGAATGGTGCTAGTCTGGGAGCGCCATAATGTGGATGGTGCTCGAGTCTGAAAGCGCCATAATGTGGATGGTGCTTGAGCGATTGCGCCATAATGTGGATGGCACACCTGTTTGAAGCGCCATAATGTGGATGGTGCTCGAACAGTTAGATTCCATAATGTAATGGAATTGACGATTGCCATGAAGGAGATACGAAAAGTATGTGATTGAATAAGAATGCAATGAACATATGAATTTGAACCTTGGGAATGGAACGAACGCAAGTAAGTGACACAGCCAAATCATGGTAGCATGGGTGCTACTATGAGAAACCCCAAGGTAAAGATAATATGTTTATGTATAGTAGCGAGTGTAGGATATGATGTGATAACCACTAATTATAATATGATTATTCATCAAATTCGAACACATTTCCTCAAAAGCAGCACGATAAGTAACGAACCGTTGTATGATGATTGACATGCTAGTAGTTCGTGGTGCTTTTGAATGGACGATTTAAATCGCTCTGACGTCGGATATATAAATACATAGTAAATACACAGATAAATGATAACTATTCCCATGGGCTATGCTATTCCTGAGCATTCAAATGGAAATGCGCCGATAACAATCAGGTGTGTGGTGAAGCCATGGCCCGTTGGCCATCTTTAAGAAGTTGATCATTGGGGCGTATATATCGCCTGAATGAGTCTGATTTCCACCTGCCAAGTGTCATAATTAAACTATCTCCCAGGTGAGAATAAGCTGCACTTGATGCGGCGCCTATACGAAATGAATGTCCACTGAAGTGAGCCGGATCTAAGCCAATGTTATGTAAATGTTGTTTCATTGTACCGATAAAGCTGTCACGGCTTAATGTTGTGCCCTCCAGTGTGAGGAACAGAGGTCCCGATGGGTTTGAGGAATGTTGTTTTTGCCTTACGTCGAGGTATAATTGCATAGCTTTAACCGCACATGTCACGGAATCCGGATTTGAATGAATGGGTATCGTGACACCTTCGCCCGTACGATCGGTTTTAGATGACTTCAGGTGATATGTGAAATAGCCTTGGTACATTTTAATGTCCTGTAATAACACGACGTTTTGCCCTGGTTGCGTTGTAAATTCTCCACATCTCAGAAATCCAAAGAAAGCCAATGTATAGACTGCCTTAAACATAATATTTTCGTACGGATCAATACGTTTCGTAACCAAGAATCTGCATAAAGTAGCGAGAATTTCATGAGTTATTGGGCGTCTTAGAGATTGTTTGTTATCCTGAAGCTTGAGTATCGTATTTAGGATCGTAGAAATCCGCGGCATGAGTGTCCCATCAGCAAGATGGAAGGGGTTATTTATCCCAATACGCATGAACACGTATCTCAGTCCTGATAGGTACAGTCGTATTGTTGAGTGCTTCAATCCCTTAAGATGACAATAAGATATGAAGCGCAGAACAATTGCTTCTGATATTGGAGGAATATTGTTATTTGTGAATTCAACACCGTTAACCTTGAGGAATCCTAGATACGATTTATATCCCTCGTTATACACCTGTTTAGTTTTATGGCTGAGCGATAAGTCCCATAAATGATCCAAATGCGCGTCGATAACACTCACTGCCAGATTACTTGCAGTGGGTTTGGACAGGGGCATGGTGCTGCGTCTGCCCATGGTACCAGCTCCTTGAAGCGATCTATCTGCAAACGACTTAGACTGTCGGCGATATTGTTCGAATTGCCTTTAACGTGGCGAGCGTGAAAATGAAAATTACTTTCACAGGCTCGCCACGTAAGGTTGCGCATCAATTTCATGATAGGCAACACCTTGGACCGTCCTTTATTTATTATTGATACTGTTGCTTCATTGTCACACATGAACACGATGCTTTTACGAGACCAAAGACTCCCCCAGATGATGGCGGCCACGACAATGGGATATAGTTCTAAGAACGCAATGGAAAGATCCTGGCACTCGATTGAAGGGAGTGTTTCGGGCCAAGGTTCGTAGAAATATGCCCCATTGTAGAAGCCGCCATGACCAAGGGAAGCTGCTGCGTCAGTATATAGGTGCATTTCATTTGATAATATTGGAACTTGTTCATAAAATAAATTCACTCCGTTCCAGTTCGTCAAAAATGTTTGCCACATTGTGAGATCCTCTCGACAATGCTTGTCGAGATATACGTGTTTAAATGGCGTGTCTACGGATGATGCAAGTTTATACAGATAAGATACAAAACTCCGTCCGGGCCTAATAACTCTCGAGGCGAATTGTAGGTGCCCGAGAAGTTGTAAGAGTTGTATTTTAGTACACGTTTTTTGCTTCGAAATAGTCTTGATGAACGTTGAGATACGTTCTAATTTCTCGACCGGTAGCCTAGCTTCCATGTTACGTGAGTCTAATATAATCCCTAGATATTCAAGGCATGTAGTTGGTCCTACGACCTTATGCGGGGAAAGAGGGATATTTAACTTGTTAAACAACATAGTCATAATCGCCATGGTTCTGTGACCCTCTTCCCAACTTGAAGTATTGATTGCCAGGTGATCATCCAATAAATGGATCAAGAAGTCGACATCGTATTTATTCTTGCCAATCCATTCAACGGCTTGGGAAAGGGTATCATAGATCTTAGGGGAAGATCTACATCCGAAACTAAGCCGATGTGATACGTAATATTTATCCTTCCATTTGATGCAGAACCAATGCCATTGTTCAGGTTTGACGGGAATAATTTTAAAAGCGTCTTTTACGTCCCATTTCGATAATAACGCATTCCGCCCTTTAGATAAAATGCCTTTAATAGCAGTATCCAGAGTTACGTATTGCAGGCTGCATTTTTCCTTATCAATAAAATCATTGATACTATAGTCCTGATCGTTATGGGGAGATGACAAGTCTATTATCATGCGTTTCTTTTTTGAGTATTTGCTTTCTGCTATTCCAATAGGGCTAACTCGAAAGTGCGCAAAAGGTGGTGTTACGAATGGGCCTAGTAAATATCCCTTAGATAATTCTGTATTCAGCAATTCTTCGACGATCTCTGGTTGCCGACGCGCTGATAATAAATTGTTACAGATTCTGTTAGGGATAGAGATGCCTTCAGGTTGTTCTACTAGGGTGTCGAATCCATATTCGAGGCCGTTGCATAAGTAATTAACGAAATTCGCGTCGGGGTGGTGAATTAAATCCATTCGCAATTGAGGAATATTGATGGGGGTTGAAGCGTTCATGATGTCGGGAATCAGTCAATTTTTATTCTTTCCCTCGTTTTTCCTAGATGAACGAGAGGACGGGGAGATTTTCCTGCCTTCGGAATCTACGCGGACGTGAAGCCTGTAACAATCATCGTAATTACAGCCGCCTTCCGAGTTGAAGTTGTTACAAACAGGTCTAGATCTTCCGCGTTCGTCTTCGGAGTATATCACTTTTCTGCCTTGTCTATCTGTGTTTTGTTTACCCCGTTTTGCCTCGGATTGTGATGTTTTTCCATTATCGACATCAACGTGCTTTGAGTTGAGGACGAGCTGTAATAGGCGAGTGTCCACTTGTCCCCAGTCAACTTTGATTTGATGATTGATCCAAGCGGCGCACGCTCTTCCTGTGAATAACTTGTGGTATTCGTAGAATACGGCACCGTTTGTGTTGTGAATATCCAGAATATTGTACATGTATTGGCTAAGTTCATCGGCGCGGGAGGGGTAAGCGGCTAACATTATTCGCTTATACTTTTCGAAGGCCGTGATGAATTCTGCAATGGTGAGATGGCGCTTTAGTTTTGGGTCGTTATCCATATTAACGGCCTTGAGCGTCAGTTTTCCGTCGGCCTCTGTATCCAGGGACGGGGCTTTTGATATCTCATAATACGGTATTAACAGACAAGCCATGTTGATGTACTTTCCAGTGAGAATGGCCCGTTTTACACTCGGAGAAATTACATCTATCATCGGGATATCATTTGGATGTATACCTTTCTCGCCGAGTCCTCGTACGATTGTACTAGAAGATGCATCCAAAGGCTCCAGGTTTCTCTCCGCCGATGACGAGGGTGTGGGTACCGGCGGGTCTGATTGTCCTGACGGGGCCTCTAGCTTGTCAACGAGAATGTTGACTGCCTTGGTTAGAGTCTCTACCGATTCCTTGAGATTACTATTAGTTGCCTCATTAGAGCTATCTGACGGCGTTTTCGCATACGGCTTCTCCACACTTTTCTTCTTTGTTTGTTTTTGATTTTTAGATTTTCCTCTAGTTGAAGGCATTGTTAATATAATATTTTGGTTGATATAATAGCTATGGATAAATTGATGTTCGCTGGTCGCTAGGTTCAATCGAATAGAACGACTGTATCGTGTGTGCAACGGATAGAGTCACGTTCATCCATCCGAATGATTGACGTGAAGGCGGGGCATGAGAATCAGTATGAATATTTTTCAAGCTTCCTATAAACGATGCTTAACAATATTAAGCAACCATTAAGAGTAGGATTCGCTTTATAAATGAGCATATACTTATCCCCTGTTATGTTGTTTTTGTACAGCTAAAAAACGAAACATCGACTAATACATTGCTTATAATGTAAAGACATTGTATGCCATTTTATGGGACCTTGTGCAAAATATTTATAATATTTATCAGGGATATAGTCTGTCAAGAAGTCTTTTCAAGGTTCTTTATTCAAGTTCATAAGCTTACAAAATCAAAAAAGCAAAAATTCTAGTACAAAGTTAATTACCTAGTAAGTAAGTAATAAACAAAACTCAAGAATATGTTATAATCAGCATAATAGAATACATATCATGACATAGTCTTTTAATAAAATATCGATTTTGATTTCATGTAGCATCAAAATTAATAAAGTATGGCATGCACAGGATATGGTTCCAAATTTAAAATTTGGTAATAATTTGAGCATACTCAAATGTGCCCCGATGAGGCATATCTCATACTCTTGCAATCTTTATTAAAATAAATCAAAGCAGATTAATTCCATCATACTTTACAAAGTAAACGACGAATGTTTTTATATCATCAACGAGAAATATGATGTCAAAGACTTTTTTGGACAGTACAGTACTTTCGTACAGTATTTGCCATTTGCAAAAAAAGGTTTGCAAATTAGTAGATCTATTAAGGGGAGGCATAAAAGTTCAATGTCTTGTAGGAAACTAAATAAATCTAGTTTTGAGTTGGACACCCCCCCTCCCCCTCAAAACTAAATACAATGAAAGTTGATCGGGGACCTTTAACTTGTTTTAGCGACTTAATTTGGACTGTCATGGGGGCAGTACTATAACTTATTTATAATTCTTAAAACAGGTGCCAACAACAATAAGCATATTCCATGTTGCATGCATCTTGGTGAAGAAGGCGTCTGGTAAAGTCTTTATTTTTAAACCATTCCAAGGTGTATTTCGAGTCGAAATTGCAAAAATTTAAATGTTGAAATTTGTCGGATAGCAAACTGAAATAGCTTTGACCCCCTCCCCCCAAACTAGATTTATTTAGTTTTCTATCAGACATTGATCTTTTGATGCCTCCCCTAAGCTTATTTGTTTTAAAACTTTTATTGTAGCATTTGGTTTTGATTGGGCTTCACAATCACTTTCGATTTTTATTTTCTACTTGACTACATGTCACAATTATTGAAGGAACTCGGTTTTTATCCTTGCACAGCCTTGACCAAAGAGTTTTACCGTTATTAACTGTAATGACAAAGTTTATTATTTGTTAGTCCTCACGTTTGTGAAATAATTGTGACATACTGCTCTTGTAATAGTTCACAGAATCATCATTTTTTGCTTTGATAATAATAAAAATGCATTACGCTCAACAATACATTTACGATTTAAAGTAAAGTGTATCATACCTCACACAGGAATTTAGGTTGAGCTGATCTGGAGACATCAGCAACAAATATTCTCAGACCACTTTCCTAAAATAATAAAGATATGCCTTTAAACGCTTTTCTCACTTGGGGATTATTAAAGGTCGCAGAGCAGATTACTTTCTTAAAGGCCAGTTGTAATATATGTTTTAATCATTCATTCAGTATTTTCAAGGAAAAGGTTTTCTGCTTTTTATTTCTCAAATATTCAAATTGCTCGCAATTTTTCAGATACAAGATGAGATTTTTAAATCATCAAGTATTCCACTATACAATGCAAAACACTTTTAAATCTTTTTAGCACCAGTGTCAAGATTGAATTCAAAACTTTCAAAAAGTCCTTCAAGAACCACCTTTTGAATCAAAAAATTCTAATATCAATTTTTTAATAATTTTGCGTAAGCCAAAGAAGTTTAAACTTTATATGGGACCTTTAAGGAGTAAAAAAGGGTATACATATACATGGTGGTCAAAAAACGGCAACCCTAGTTTTTTCCTAATATCTATTTCATTCTAAGAAATAACTCCCTGATATTTGACACATTTGAACATCATTCAATTTCCTACCAACCTACCATATTTCATGACCATCGTACTGATAGTCACAATATTACTGCATTTTAAGCAACATGCCCCAGATGGCCACTTTCGGGCTGTTTGAGCTGGTCTTTTATTCAAATGAACTCCATTTCCAACTTGATGCACTGGTAAACTCCAACAATGTATTCTTGGGGAACCAAGCACTTGATAAAGTAGTGCAGATCAACATCAAACATTTTGTGATTCCCATGGCATTCTTGGGGACTTTAGGTGAAACCAGGGGGGAAGTTGATAGGCAGCAGCAGTGGTTCCAACATGACAGAACCATACCCCATACACCCAATGATGCACAATAATGGCTTTGGGAACACTTCAATGACCACATTATCAGCAGTACAACAGACAATGAATGGGCACCCAATAGCCCAGCTATGGCCCCATTTAATCTTTACCAGTGGGGATACCCCAAAGATAGAGTGTAGGGTAATAACACCAGAAAGACATTTTATCAGTCCAATGATCATGAAATAATACAGTCTAGTATGAAATTGAATGATGTACATGTGTGCTAAATATTAGGGCAAAATTTTCAAAAATGACAAAGATATGAGGAAAGATTAGGGTTGCCGTTTTTTACCACCCTGTATGTATTTATATTCCGAAACATTTTCAAAACATAAAATATAATAAAAATATAATATTAATTAAGGTATATCCTAAACTAGTTGAACCAGTTATTATAGTGAACATAAACATCATGCTACATATCTCACTGTTCTAGAAATAGTAATACTTTTATTGCAGTCCAATTAGTTTTTGTCACAGTGTATGTTTGATAGACATCCAACTCCACATCATTCGCTTCAAGATCATACTTTAGTTGTTTAATGAACTGAAATATATAATTAATAAGAGTATTAATTCAGTAATTTCCGTTTGTGTTCTTTAAACAATTCGGTTTAACATTTAGCTCCGTGGGATTCGTGGAACTCCATCATCGGACTACTCCGGTGGACTTTGCCCCCATCGAGTCAAATGAGACTCGAAGAGGCATAATGGAGTCCCACGAACCCCCATTTAGAATAAATGAACATGTTCATTCTTTCAATTGGGCATTGTGGGACTCATGATTACGTGACATGTCAGGTAACTTGGGATCGAAATGGCCTTCGAAACTTAATTACATCATTCCATGGGACTCGATGGGGCATGGCGGGACTCGATGAGACTCCATTGGGCAAAGTTAACTTGGTCGCATGGGACATCGTAAGACTCGAAATGGCACGTCGGGAATTAATGGAACGCTATTGGTATATATTTGGCTTAATTAAGTGAGTGCACTCAAAATGAGACCCCAGCGAGTAATTTCTGACCACTAAAACAACTTTTTCTCTGTATGTGATATTGGCCGATTTCCTTCTCTTCTCTCACATCTCTCATAATAGAGCCTTTGACAACAGTACATGGATGTCGCTGTGTGTTCCTGTTAATTCCCGTACAACTTATTGAAATATCGAACAGCACATTGTACATAATATCACGGTGATAGGGATGTGTTCCCCGAACTAAAAACTGAGAAACATATTTTATAAATTTGCTTCACGTCATCGTTCACTTTATGTATAAATAATTAAAGAAGCATATTATTAATAAGGTACCTTTCCTTTTTCAGTAAACGATTCTGTGAAGAATAATCCAACATATTTCCAGCCATATCTTTCGACGATCTTCATTATTGTGCGTCCAACTATGACCATATCGTTAAGAACATTTGTCGCAAGCGGGGCTTCTAATGTGTCCAATGACGTCACCCAATCTGCAGCCTAAATACAGGTATTAAAATGATATCATCCACTGGCGGATCTGGGGGGGGGGGGGGTGGCTGGGGGCCAACGATGATGAATAATTTCAAATACAATTGAACAGGCAATATGATCAAGTAATTTCCCGCCATAAATCCACCTGCTCATTATCAAGTGTAAATAAATAATTAAGCCGAATGTCTTACTGTGATACATCCTTTAGCAGCGCAAAACGTCCTAAGATCAGATGTCACGCTTTTACCATGTAAGATGAAGGGAATAGCTTGTTCTTCGATCTTATTAATGTATGCCACAAAACGATATATATCTTCAATACTTGACTTAATGCTGGAGTTCTAAAATACGAAAAGATTGGCATAATGAAATGCATGGTGGCATGAAAACAAATATATACAAATTTTGATTTTTTGATAATTTTTCAATAGATATAAAAACACGTAAACACACATGCATTAAAAACAGGAGTGCTTGAATTGTATCTATTCCTAACACATTCATTTGGTATCTAAATAAGAAGGTTAAATTAAATTACTGCTGTATACGATTTAAGAGAACTTGTACATGTAGGTGAACGTGAACGTTTCTGGTCTTTCGAGATTATAGTTTAATTCCCTCTTTGTATTGTGTACCTGGACACTTTTTTAAAATATACGAGGAAATAGACTAGAGTGTTCGCATTTTCTCTTACCGCGCTAGTGTCATAGCAGCCATCTACAACGAACTCATAGCCAGAAAGTATGGTTGAGTCAGCGTTGACATCTTTTCCCGCTTGGACTGCAAACTTACATCGAGTGGCCCAGCTTGCGGTAACTGAGTGGATCAGGTTACCAATGAAGATCTTCTCAACTGTGTAAAAGGATGCAAAAGCACATTGTTACCACACTAAAACTATTTGCCCAAACCTTAAAAATATACTCTAACATAGTATGTATAAAATAGGATATTTTCTTTAAAAATGGAAGAAATCGGAAAATTAAAACAAATCGGGATAAAAATCGGGATGTTTTTGGAAAATGGAAGAAGATTGGATTTCTATGAGAAAAGCGAGAGAAATTCGGAATATCTAAAGTGCTCAACATATAAATGGCCTCTGGATGCTCTATCACCATTCCCAGACCATGCTGATTTGAGACTTCATACTCAAGGTGGGTTGAGGTGACGCGGCGCAGCCACGCGTAGCTGTTCAAAACGAGGCTGCAACGCGGTATAGACACAAAATGGCTGCTAATAGAAACCTTTGAATTGGCGGTAAAGTTTATTTATAAGCTAGTTACACCGGTTTGGGTATCCAATAGTTATTAAAGCATACACCATTCGGTGGAGAACTTTAAAGTATGTCTGTGTGAAGCTTCTTGAAATTTAGTCCATCGGGGAAATATATTCTGGGAACACAAAGTCAATCATGTGCGGAAATTTGAAGATCAGAGCATCTTTCTTGCTTTATTTCTGTGTTTCTGACTTTGTCACTGGGCACATGCCTTCATATCGGTTTTTATTTCCCGCGACATTTATTACCATAATTGTAGATGTGTTCGGTACAGGGACAGATTTCCAGTGCTTTATCTTCTCTTGCTGAAAAAGTGTGTTAGATGCAAGATTAAATCAACAAAAACCTCGATAGAAACGCTTAAAGCATAACTACTTTGAGCTTTCAGAGAAAGTTGGTACCTGAGCCGCGCTGCCATACAATATAATCTAATATTATGCTGTCGACTCGTTGCCACTGCAGAAAAGGACCGTGCCGCGTTTCCGGCGAGTTCAATTTTGTAAGCAAGAGTTTCAATCTTAATTTGTATGGTCCATTCTATATGCGTCAGGTCATTGAATGCCAACGTTACACTTGCTCATGAGTGGCGAAATACCACGTGACCTTAATTGGAATTAGAAGACAGTTCAACAAAATAGGACCGGGAAATTATCATTTGTGTTGACTATTTCTTTACACTGGTCAATGTCTGATCAGAAACTTTGAATTAACATACCTTGAGGGATTGTTCTCCGAATGTGAAGCACGAATTTTCAAAAACTTGCCAATGTCTCGAGGAAATGGAGGACGAAGTGGCTCAGATAATCGGAGTTGCCTCCATTTTGGTCTAATAACGCCTTGCAGCCTCGTTTTGAACAGCTACGCGTGGCTGCGCCGCGCGCGTCACCTCAATCCACCTTGAAACTTTTCAATAATGGCTAGATACCAGTACACAACCCTTAAGTTTTGGATATTTTACATTATGTATACTCTCAACTACATATGTATGGTCATTTGAAAATTCTTTTGTTTTTAAACTGGGAAATCTTCACTTCAGCAAATCCAGGTGTCATAAGCACTGTAAAAGGAATCGGTAGAAATATTGGTTTAACTAAAAATAATAGATCAACAATTTAACAAATTCGAGAGGATTAAATTTTTTCATTGAATGCATGTTTCATGCATTGAATTCTTAAGAAGATGCTAAACGGAACCAAGTCTCGCTGTTGCCATGGCAACCAAAGTTCACTTCCTTGTAGGGAATTATATTTATATTGATGCAAACTCAAGACATATGTATGGAACATATTCTGAAAGTTTTATAGATAGATGAGTAAAAATAAAAAACTGGCCCGGCAAGGTGGTAATAATTTGTACCACCTTGCCAGGCCAGTTCTAGGGGTTTTAGTGCTAGTTTAGAAGGCGTTTATTTTACTATA